AGAAGAAGTGCTTCAAACTATAGCAAAACTTTCTAATAGGAAAGTCTGTAGTTCTACAGGTATCAGTTATAAAATGCTTAAATATGCAGATATTGTCTGCATTAAAGTCATAACTGCTCAATTTAATCACTGCCTTAACTCAGGCCAAACTTTAAAATAATAAAAGTATAGCAGAATATACCCTATTTCAAAGTGCAATACATTTGATAGAGATCTTAACCTTACTTGTTCTATAAGCCTAATTAAACATACTTGTAAAATCTATACAAAGATTATTACAAACAGAATTAGCATAATATTTTAACAACATCTAATTCTCTCATTATACAATTATGTTGCTTTACCAAACAACTGTATCTTAATATCTATATATATACTCAACAACCTTACTGAAGATGCATCATACAATCAAAAACTAATTTGGATTCTGTTTCAAGATATAAGCAAAGCCTATAATTCAGTTAATCTTGATCTTAATTATTCTTTGCAACATCTTGCTTTTTCTTCTATTATTATCAACACTGTTATTAATCTATTTACTAACTAATACAATCAAGTTATTACAAATCTTAGCCTTACTTCTTCATATTCTATACTTAATAATATTAATCAAGAAGAAACTATTACTCCTCTTCTATAGAGAATATACTATAACCTACTTATTTTATATATTTATAATAACTTTAATAAATATAATACTAAAGTTTTCTGGCCAACCAATCTTAAAAACCAAATATTTAACAGACTTGAATCTTACTGCTCTGTTTTTGCTTATATGGATAATACTTTATAGATTGCTTTCTTATAACAAGAACTCTCACAAATCCTATTAATAGCAAAATTTTTTTACAATATAGCTAATATTCAAATTAACTCTACTAAATCAATGCTTATAAATAATAATTCTTCAACTATAGTTTTATTATTTATAATAGTTATTTACTTAATGTTTATTCTTTAAATAAACTATTTAAGTTTTTAAAATGTTGGTTTACACTTAACAACAAGCAAACAAAACAAACTAAGCTTATTACAGCTGAATTATCACATCTTGTAAAAATTGTAAGTACTAAAAAAATTACTAACATACATGCACTATATATTATTAACACAATTATTATTCTTATAATTGAATACTTATTCACAACATTGTTCTTAGTTAGAACATATGTAATAAAATTCTTACTAACCATATTGGATTTGTTAAAAACAAGGTCAAACTTAGTTATACAATTCTTACTAGCACAATACTTCATCTACAACTATATAATATTTGAAATATATGGGATATTCAACTTCAACACCATATAACAAACTATACCAAAAAACTTAACTCTTCTGATCTTTTTGGTATTAGTACTTGTATTCAGCTTTAACAACTTCAAAATAATTTTTGGCCATCTATTAGCATCTTAATACATAACAATCTTATTATTGATAGACCAAACAAACATACTACTAATTTCAAAATAATTCAATTTTTTAAATATTTTGGCATTACATTTACTGCTAATCCAACTTACAACATTCTATATACTATTCAACAAGGTTCTATCTTACTAGAATCTCTGCTCTTCTCATATCCAAAATACTTAACCTTTAAAAAACAACTTAAGCATCATAATATTCTATATCTTGATCAACTTACTACATTTGACAATTTATGCTTATTAGACTAAAAACACATTTCTCTTTGTATATACAAGATTCCAAAAGGCAAACAGCCACTTTGGTTTACTTATTTAGAAGACCAAGTTACAAGCCATTTTTATAATTATACACTTTATTAATATTTACACTTACTTAACACAAATTACTACAATTATATAACTGGACACTTCTTATTATACAAAAAACTATAGTTTATAACTGTACTTAATAACCAAATTATTGCTAAAAAAGCCAAAAGGCAATTTTTAGCATCTGGATCCATTCTTATTACCTACTGGCAATGTAATATTGAATCATAATTTACTCAACTCTATCTTCTTCCACCTATTTAATCCTACATATACTTTGGCTGCTTCTTTAATTCTCAAATAATTGCTAACAAATGTATATAATTGTTATTTCTACTAATTTCTCAACTTAATTTTTGGATCAAGTTAACATCTATAACAAAACTCTTAACTTTAATGCTAATTATCTTAATCTTATATACTTTATTGCAATTTACATTCTACTTAAATTCCAGACCTTTCAAATATTACTATTTTTATTCAACTAATTCTTGTAATTTTTGAATTTAGTTTACTTATACATAACCTTCAACAAATAGTCAACTATAATACTAATCTATCAGAACTTCACTTCTATACTAATAACTTTGTTATTAATTTGGATACTTTACAATACGTGATGGATATTAAATAGGCTCAAATTTCTAATAACTTCATATTACATTCATTTCAAGTTTAAACAAAACTTTGATCTTGTTTATTCAAAACTGAACTTACTGTTATTCTATTTATTCTTATTACTGCTCCTAGAAATAATATTATAAATATATATACAGACTCTCAATTTGTAATTTCTAAATATCAAAATATTTTAAACTCTTTTACAATCCTATCTTATACATATACATCATACTTTTTACTATGAAACTTACTAATTAACTTTGTTAATTTATACAAAATTCAAATTATTTTTCACAAAGTTATTGTACATCAAGACAATACATATAATAACCTTGCTGACCAACTTGCATAAAATTATTACAACTTATCATTGTTACAAAGTAGATTTTAGCATAGTATATTATATAGTTGTATTAGTAATTATATATATATTCATTATTATATTTTATATCATATTTATTATTAGTTATTAGTTATTAGTTAGTTGATAGTTATATTATATAGTAGATAGATAAAAGAATCTTAATTGGCTATTAGAAATGTGGTACAGTCACATAACACTGAGTAACATCTGCGATGTTACTATCATCTTACAAACTCAAGTACTCTTTTACAAGTTTCATGTATCTTAGCACCAAATTACTGTGCCAAGTGCTGTAGCACAAGAATCTCAAGTATTTCCAACATGAACTCCAAGTGTCCTTACATGAATTCCAAGTATCCCTGCACAAATTTCAAGTGCCTTTGCACAGATCCAAGTAACTAAATACAAGCAACAAGTGTTTCAAGCACAAATAACAAATAATATAAACAATATCTTCAGTTGCCTTTACACAGTTTCTACTACCCCAAGCTTAGTATTATTTAATGTTGTTTGAACCTCCACTATCTTAAGTACAATGATATCTAATGTTGTTCGAACACCCATTATCTCAAGTACAGTATCAAGTAATGTTGCTCTAACCCCCACTATTCTTACTAGATAAAAAAATATATAAAAAATAGCTTTTACTCTTTCCTGTCAATTCTAAGTTCCTATACTTCAACCTAGACCCTTCTACCTTTATTTCTAACTTGTAAAAGTAATATTCTTTCTCTAAAGTAATTCCTATAAGAAGGTTGTTACTGTGTGTTTATTTAATAAAAGTTAATCTATATATTATTACTATCTTGAACTGTTTGCCTGCTGCTGTGTAATAAAGTAAACTACTATACCTCTATTCTATATATATTTGCAATAGTCAATCACTGTACCAGGTAATCTTGTTACTTGGTTGTATTGTACCAAGAAGGCTACAACTTTGTAATACTATATCTAACTTTTATGTCTTACAATATCTATAACTTATCTTATATTCTAAATCTTAAAAAATTTCCTTTAGAATTACTTACTCATTACAATATTTATACAATTTGCTATGCATATATTTATACTATGAATTATACAAAACTGATTTTAAAAATAGAACAAAATCTTTAACCAAATGAATTGACAAACCATTTGGCTATATATTAACAATAATTAAAAAGTTTCAAACTTCTTATATAGCTTTTAATCTTCTATTTTTAAATCTTTTAAAATTAAAATTTTATTTAATAACCTTTCTACTTTTCATATTCTTTATAAATAATATCATTCATATCTACCAACTTGTTATTAATGCTATAAAATCAGTTTTCACTTTCATTGAATAACATGCTCATCTGACCAGCTGCTATACAACCTTATTGATAGTTCTTTACAACATATTCTAAACATAAATACACTTGATACTAATTCAAAAACAATAACCAAACTATACTGCCAAATTAAACAACTAAATTGTATAACTACATATAACACAGCAGACCTACTATCAGTTTTTTCAATCTTACTTGGCTTAGTGCCACATGAAATTATCTTTACTATCAAAAATTTATTATCTAAAAAATTAGTTACAACACTTGTTATTAAATTTTTACTTCATCCTAACCAACAAATATATCATAAAATTTGGATTTCTTACTGTATTTCAAGATTAACATCTTATTTTCTTATTTTCAACTCACTCTCAAATTTTATTTCATATTCATCTTAATCTTTTCTTTCTAATTCAATTTGTCCTAAAATTAACTCCTAATATATACAATAGATCAAATACCAAACTAATCTATTATATATAATTACTAACAACTAAATCTAAGTAAGCTTTGGCCACTTCTGTTAGCTTAGATCACAGATAAACTAGTTTAAGCTTCTATTCTTTTTATAGTCTTTTCAATAGTAAATTTATACTTTATGTAAAAATTTCAAATAAATATTCAATAAAGATAGAGGCATGACCTCATTATTAATATTAAAAAAAAAATTTGTATATAATTTTAAATATAATTTATATAAAAATTCTATATAATTCTAAATAAAATTAAAATTTTAAAGTAATTAGAAATAAACTTTATAAAAAAGATTTAATTTTTTTTAATTAAAAGATAGCTTTAATGTTATTGTAATAAAAAAGTAGTTTATTAATCTATTTATTTATTTAGAAATAATTTTTATTTATATTAAATAATAATTTACAAAATAAAATGTAAATACCAATTTGAATATATATAAATATACAAACTAAAATATAATAAATATAACTTTAATTTAATTGGCTAATCTAAATTAACAGACTTAAATTCTTCTGAAAGTAAATTGTTAGAATATGTTTTTTTTGGTTGATCTAAAAGTTTATACATTATTATTATAATTAATTAATTTAAATGCATCTAAATAAACCTAAATATTATAAATTATTTTATACCTTTAAATAGCTCTTTTGTAATAATAATTCTACTAGTATACATTGAATCTGGATGGTGTCGTATAATATCTGGTAATGTTTTAATAATTTTATCAGCAGCCATGAATTTTTCTTTTATATGAAGTTTATCAAGTTTTTTACTATAATAAATATAACTCCAAAGATGATCAAGTCTTAAATAAATTTCGTTTGCAGTAGGTCGTTTCTGTGGATCTTGGTCAATACATTTTTTAGCTAATCTGATGT